TATGTTCGATTACTCCCAAGTTGTACAACACGCACCTTCAACGCCCGCAAATCACTGTCCAGAGAGTGTCCTATAAGCACAGTTTCAGTGGTGATGTTCTCTTTTAAGTATTTGTGTACATCATCCATGGTCATGGTCGCCTTGTCTATGTCTTCCGCCCGGATGCCACTGAACCTGGTGTTGTAGTCAATCACCGGTTGTGATGGCTTGATCAGCTGTGAGGAGCACACAGCAATACGGATTCAGTTAACAGGGATATACAGATGACAGTTGTATTTCTGCTACACAGACGCATCGCAGACGAGTGGCAGACACTCACTCTCTCTCACACACACACTTACATATATATACATATATACATATATACATATATATATACATACATATATATATATATATATATATAAGATTTATACAAATTAATATATTTTTGAGCTTGAAGTGCACTGGACTGCGAGTTCGATAGCCAACCAACAGAAACGATGTTGTGATCAGCGATGGCGTGAAGAGTGGATTCAGATATACAATAATGACCTAGTACTCGCATACACATTCCAAAGAATTCAATCACGTACAAACAGTCACTAACCATCCTATTACACACATACATAGTCGAAAACATCCATGCACACACATACACCCACTGACCTCGTCCATGAGCAGCGTCTGGTGCTCGTCGACTATCGTCACGCGCGTGAGTTCGAGGCCATCTCTGTTGTAGCACATCTCACAGTCCAGCGCCCACACCTTGCGGCCCTGAGTAGCGGACTGCATAGGACTGGTGGCACTAGCGGTCCTAATTTCAGGTACATCTGCACTTGCCCCACCTATACAAAAGGGACTGCCTCTGGGCCCCAGTAGGTGCGAGTTCTCGTTTCCGGCCGCGTCAGTGCCTTTGGTGATAGGTGTCCGATGGATAGCATGTATTGGGTGTGAGCGTCTGATGTTCGGTACTTGTGGGATATGTCTGTGTGGGATCTAGTACAACTGGGTGATGATGTTTTTATGTACACACGTGGCTGTGTAGAAGTGCCTGTGGTCTCTAGAGATATGCGTTTGATGCCTGGTATGTATTAGATGTGTTCGTCTAATTTGGGATATATCTGTGTAGGATCTAGTACGACTGGGTGATGATGTTTGTATATACACACGTGGCTGTGTAGAAGTGCATGTGGTCTCTAGAGATAGGTGTCTGATGTCTAGCATGTATTAGTTGTGTTCGTCTATTTTGGGATATATCTGTGTGGGATCTAGTACGACTGGGCGATGATGCTTGTATTTACACACGTGGCTGTGTAGAAGTGCATGTGGTCGCTGGTCTATTCGCCCCTACTACCTTGGATTGGGTGATACAGGCGACCCATTATTAATCCCTGTCTGCAACCCCACATGTGCTAAACATACTCACGAATGAGAATAAGGCAGAATGATAGGATGACAGTATCATACAATGATAGTATGATAGTAGGATGATATGATAGTATGATTGTATGACAATAATATGAAAGCAAGATAGGATGATGAATGATAGTATGATAGAATTATAGTATGATAGAATAATAGCATGGTAGTATGATTGTATGACAATAGTGCGAAAGTAAGAGAGTATGATGAATGATAGTATGATAGAATGCTAGGATGTTAGAATGATAGTATCATAGAATGATACTATGATGAATGATAGTATGATCGCATGATAGTATCATAGAATGATAGTATGAATATATAATAGTATGAAAGCAAGATAGTATGATATCATGTTAGTATCATAGAATGATAGTATGATTGTATGAAAATAGTATGAAAGTGAGATAGTATGATAGTATGATACATAGTATGACAGTATCACAGTATTCTCATCTGCTTCCTTTCCGCCCAGCAGCGCACACACTCGCCAGCCCACCTCTGGTTGATTCAATCTACTACATTCGCGCAATTGCGTTTGACTACTATTAGCAGCAGTTTATATGTGTGTTTCTTGTACACACATGCACCTCAACATCCACTGACAGGCACATAAACATACAAACTTACGAACATGGGATCTCCCAACAAGCAATCCTCCCACACGCACTCACTCACCATCAGCTCATACCCTGACCGCATATTCCTACACACACCCACACTTGCGTATGCACACACACACCCACCCACCCACCCACCAGCAGCATATACATTGACCACACATTTCTACACACACCCACACATGCGTACGTACACACACACATCCTCTCTCTCACGTACCATCCTGTGGAGGGAACGGCGAGCACATAAAGCCGGTGACGTCCGTCTTCTCTCGCGTAAAGACGTGTTCCGAATTTTCCACACACCCCGTAGTGCCCTGCATCTCCCCACAACACGCGTACCGAAATTCACGGCCGTCGTGTACTTTGGTCAACACTGCTTTGCTGGGATGCGACTTGCAGCTGATTTCTGAGGCTGTGGCTGGCTGTGGCTGTGGTGGGTAGTCATTGTTTGAACTTACGTATTGGTAGGTTTTATATGAACTTACGTACTTGTAGGTTTTATATGATCTAACATACTTGTAGCTTTTATATGACCTTACTTATTGGTAGGGTTTATATGAACTTACGTACGTGTAGGTATCATATGATCTAACGTACTTGTAGGTTTTATATGACCTTACTTATTTGTAGTTTTATATGAACTTACGTATTTGTATGTTTTATATGAACTTCCGTACTTGCATACTTTATATACACATACGTATTTGTAGGTATTATATGAAATTACGTATCTGTAGGTTTTACTTGAATATATATATTTGCAAGTTTTACTTGGATCTTCGTATTTGTAGTCCCTCCATGAACATACCTATCTGCCTATAATATATTCACATGTGTCCATTGCAAAGTACGATCACTATCGACACAGATAAAGACTCTATCACACAGCCCTTCAGTGCCCTTGTACTTGCTTCCACACACATAGGCCAATTCCAAATACATCACATATTTCTTCAGCACTTCAAGTCCCCCACTTTCATGTACCTCTCCAGTTGCGGCAGGGTATTGGAACTTTGTCTGGCATCGTGAGCACGTGTGTATTGGCTCGGCTGCCCGGTGAAGTTCGAAACCTTCCTCGCCATCTGCAGTCGCCGTCTGTTTATATGCAGGTGTGTTAGATGCTTGGGTATTGAGTACAGAAAGCGTATTCGCCTGTGCGTGGGAGATACTCTCCCGTTGCTACGGTAACCATGATATGCAGAGGATAGTGAAATAAAAACCATACCCTAAAATGGAAATGGCAGCAATAATGACGTGACGCTCGAAGCGAACGACGCTGAATGACATCATTATTAAATACAAAAACCCAAAAACCAAAACCAAAACAAAAACAAAAACAAAGCGAAACAAACAAAACAAAACAAAACAAAACAAAACAAAACAAAACAAAACAAAACACGTCAAGTCAAACAACGCGGAGAGTAGAATGTGCCATCAACATAGTCAGAGTGTGGAGTTGAACTATTTGCGCGTGCGAAGACTATACACTCATAGGTCATGGGCATCAGAAACCATACAGAATTAGGACACGATGGCTATAGCCAGATGATTCAGCTTCGAGACGTCCCACTATGTAACGTGTACGTATCCTATTAATACATAAGTGCGTCTACAACAGACGTCTCACTCGGTAACGTGTTAGTATCCTATTAATACACAAGTGCGCCTACAACAGACGTCTCACTCTGTAACGTGTACTTACCCTATTAATACACAAGTGCGTCTACAACAGACGTCTCACTCTGTAACCCTATTAATACACAAGTGCGTCTACAACAGACGTCGCACTCTGTAACGTGTACGTACCCTATTAATACACAAGTGCGTCTACAACAGACTTCTCACTCTGTAAGGTGTACGTACCCTATTAATACACAAGTGCGTCTACAACAGACTTCTCACTCTGTAAGGTGTACGTACCCTATTAATACACAAGTGCGTCTACAACAGACGTCTCACTCGGTAACGTGTACGTATCCTATTAATACACAAGTGCGTCTGCAACGAAGAGATCCTCTGCGCATACGTATGCACTGCTGCGGTACCCATGAATGCGGCTGTAGATATGACACTGCTGAGATGTGTGCCTCACGCCACACGTTACTACAGGTATAGCACACGTCCAGTCTGTTCGGTACTCGGCTCAACCTCAAGTTCAATTTGTGTGTGTATACACACGTGCACATCTATCGACAAATGATACATGAGTGTTCGTTGCTCTACAGATATTCCACAGATCTCTTTCACATACCCTAAAGCCCTAAAATACCTACTGCTGCAACATTGTATTCACAGCGAAAATGGCATGCAGTCCCATTCACTCCTGCCTGTGGTCAAGGCCCATATGATTTGCGTGCTAAATGCAGCCAACATTAGGAATATTTTCCATTTAAATTTATAGGTACGAGCTAAATGCAGCCAACAATAAGTATATTTTCCATTTAAATTTGTAGGTACGACAAGGAAAGGTTCCTATCACAGTGACCACTACCGATGGCAAACAATATGTTGTCCACGCCTGTCACTGACGGAATGTATTTCTAACTGTATAGGTACATGGAGAGGAAAGGATCAAATACATACAACAACTATATAACCACTGTGTCACACGTGAGGGTCAATTTTACCAACTAAAGTCAGCGCTAGTCGTGAGTTACACAGACTGCTCTCGATATATATATATATACATATATATATATAAATATATATATATAAATATATATATATATACAAATATATATATATATATATATATATATATATATATATATATATATATATATATATATATACATACATATATATATATGTATATGTATACAAATATATATATAAACATATATATATACATATATGACCCTCGAATACACATACCGTTGCGAGTACACTCAGATCGGTCCCCGCCATAAATCCCGGGTATTGGTAAAGTGCCAACAGGTCTGGTGTTAATGCCACAGACAAGAAGTCTTGGTAGCCAAATGGGCAGTGCACCGAGCCCTGTTGGGGTGTCCCAGGTCTGTAATTATTGGCCGAATTTGTCCCGTTCTCTTGTGTGGCTGTGTCGTCGTCCTGGGCAGATTGTAGAGTACGTGCTACAACAGGGCAAACGAGGTGTGGGGTTTGTTAGCATCTATTGTGGATACCTTCAATGGCTATATGGTTTTATCGTTCTGTAAGCTACAATCCGTTATATCCGATAACGGTTGGCAGACACTTATACTAAAAGGCACTCGTCTGATTAGAACGCCTGCCGTTTACGCCGTTTACGTTCAACTCCTTTTGCGATCACTGCTCTATGTCTTCCGATTTAACAATCAACGTTTATTTAGGATTTATATCTCATTTAGTTCTCTTTGAGATCGTACCTTGAATTCAACACACCTCATTGGGATCACTTTCATCGCCGTATACACACAACTCACAGGCATGGCCAATAGACACGCTACACAAAATAAAATAAGTGCAACGCCACAGTTCACGTCCCATGTGATGTGAAGATCACACTCAATCCGATACCAACCTGAAACCCTAAAACCCTAAGATAAAAATCCGATACCCACCTTGTCTTTCACCCACTTTGGTAGCCTTGAGTGTTGACAGCTCTTTGCGCATCAGCAGGAAGTATCGGGTAGTGGTTGGAGACTGCTCGTACACGCCTTCCTCAAGAACCAACGCCTCCTGAAACCCTAGGGCGATATCACCTGTCAAGAGGAGAGGACGATCCGATAAGCACCGGAAGTATGTACATGACCTTGTGTATATGTGAAGAATAAAGCAACTAAGCTCGTTGGCCATCACACAAATGTATGTGCGATTTACGGCGTATGCCAAAGTCCCCATATGTGTTAAAGGCGGGGCCATATTCCCACTACTGTAAATACACATCTGACGCTCATATGATCACATAACACTACTATAAATACACATCTGACGCTCACATGATCGCATAACACTACTACAAATACATATCTGACGCTCACATGATCACATAACACTACTATGAATACACATCTGACGCTCACATGATCATATAACACTACATAAATACACATCTGACGCTCACATGATCACATAACACTACTACAAATACATATCTGACGCTCACATGATCACATAACACTACTATAAATACACATCTGACGCTCACATGATCACATAACACTACTATGAATACACATCTGACGCTCACATGATCATATAACACTACATAAATACACATCTGACGCTCACATGATCACATAACACTACATAAATACGCATCTGACGCTCACATGATCATATAACACTACATAAATACACATCTGACGCTCACATGATCACATAACACTACTATATATACACATCTGACGCTCACATGATCACATATGTATATGTATGAGGCAAAGGCGAGTCCCCATGTCCCACAGCATTCTGAGCACTTCGTTTCAACAGCTACTCACTCTGTCAAACCGCATGCCATGTGTGGTGTACGCTACCTCGACTGCTGACTATACCTTTTAATAGTACGAACGTTCCCAACCTATCCGATGAAACTCATAAGCGACATCCCACTCATACACACACTACACTGTACACGCAAACACTTGCGCAAGGGCGTCTAAACCCCTCTCACCCCCTCGTCTCTCCACACAGCAGCATCCATGTCAACACGTACCATACCTTCGTAGATACGACAGAGCTGCTCAGCGAGCTTATCCAGACAGCCCTGGCGTTTCATGACCGGGATCTTTGACCCGCTGGCAATGTTAATTGCTGGTTTGGACAGCTGAGTGGCAGACACCGTATGCGCAACGCGTACACTACTCCCGCCAATCTTATTGGCCCGTGCGGAGGTGAATGTGTTGCTGACGGGGGCAGTTGTCGTGGATCTGATTGGCTCAGACGGTACTGTGTGGGCCACCCGCGGCGGCTTGACCAATGAATTCACTGCGAATACGGAAGCAGTCAAACAAGTACTTGAGTTGCGTGCAATGGGTATGCCAATAGTATCTGCCATCTTCTGTGCGTGTACCATCATCACTCTACTAACATCTCGTGCACAATATCTGAATGTATCGTTCTGCACGTACATTCATAACACTTACCACTACGCACTTTCACAGAGCCATCCCATGGATCATACACGCATATATATATATATATGTTTATATAAGTGTATATATATATATACATACAGACACACACACAGACACATACACACACACACACATACATATATATATATATATATATATAATATATAATACTATACATACAATAAATAACTATATATATATATATATATATATATATATANATATATATATATATA